TTATAGAATATGGTGACAGACGAGCACACAGTCCACCTGATGGTAAGGGGATGCTGTGGCCCATAGAAATCTACATTTAACCTCGATTAAGAATCAAAATGCAAATGCGTTGTCATCCTTAAGGACTAAGATGGAATGCCTCGATTCGAGCAAAAACGTTCTCCGGTTCTCTACACTCACCATACGAAACACAGCAACATTAAGCTGCTATTTTACGCTGGTATTCTGTGAGAGCGTGGTCCCTCTCCGGTTAAGCCGACCCATTCGTGCTACAACCATAATATAGCTGCAGAGTGGCTCTATCACGTATAAATTACAAACTATTACGAACTGCAAGATAGGTTCTAGGGCGTTAATGAATTGCGCAATGAGTTCAATTATCTGTAACTTTTTTACTCATCTTCAAGCGGACGAGAAGACTAATTCTTTGTTTCGTAAACCGCGAACTTGAACCAGGGCCGTGCTCGCACAATCCACAAATGTGAATTGTTTTTAATCTGAATTATAGATCTAGCAGTAAATATAGGTAGTCATTGCTTAATACCTATAGTGGATTGTGAAGAACTTAACGATATATTAAATCTGTATACTTACTTATGTTTAGATGTTTAAGATATTTTTCAACATTCACATGTAACATCTAGTATTAACTGGTAGAGAATGCACAGCATTATACGTTGTTACTTTCAATTTTAAAATAAACAAATAATATTAGTGGTAGAAACTCTGAAATGAATAAACTCTTCCAATGTTCTATTTAATTTAAACACAATTTTTTGCAATATGTTTCACTTCAAGCATTTTATTTTCTCCAGAATTCTATTTTCCACCTTAATAATAGTTAATTTTTTTACGTGGTAGAGCCATGCTGAAGCTATATTAGTAGGACATGTGCAGCACGAATGGGTCGGCTCGAACGGGTAAGGACTACGCTCTCAAAGAATACCAGCGTAAAATAGCAGCTTAATACTGCTGTGTTTCGTATGATGAATACAGAGAACCAGAGACCCTTTTTATTGGAAAAGAGCCATTTGTCCTCAGGGGTGACAACGCATCTGCATTTTGATTCTTGATCGAGGATTGATGTAGATGTCTATGGGCCGCGGCAACCACTTACCATCAGGTGGACTGTTTATTCGTTTGTCACGATTATCCTATAAAAAACAAAAAAAATTACGTGGACGTCGCCAGTACCTTTATTAAATTAAATTTTTCATTCCAAAAATATCTATTATTCGAATGATCTCTTAGCCTCTCTATCCAAATTTTACAACACAAAAATGGTAGTCAATGACATTTCTTTTCATAAATGTTACTACTTTCAATATATAACACTAGCATTTAGTTGGTTACCGATAGGTTAATAAAATAGATAAATTCATTTTATTAACCTATCGTGAACGAACACCCGTTTCGACAATATTTTCATACTTAAAACATTGTAGCGCCGTTTATATACCTGGCTATCTGCTATCAAAAAAAAAATCAATTATCAATATGTATATATAAATTAATATTTTAATTCAGAAAGTTTAGTTTATGACCACTCCCAACCTATCAACAATCTAAATTTTAAAGAAAATGTTCAATTCACTGTATTTTTATTCATATCATGTAATATCTATGACATTAGTTAACCTTAGACCATTCAAAATGATCTAGTAGTAGACTAGAAAAGTAGTTAAACGATTTTATTCATTTTTCTTATCGAAAGAGTATCTCCGACGGCTCGGTAACACAAAAGCTTAGAAATGAGTTGCGGCACTGAGGGCCGCGGGTTTGAATCCCGCACGGAACAAGTATTTGTATGGCCCACAAATTGTTCATGGTCTGTATATTTGTCCTTGTGAAATTTATGCATGCAAATTGCCTCCACGATACAGGAGAAAATCAGTTTTGGAGTGGTCATATATATAATATAACACACAATATTAACATAAAGGTAAGGAGATAATTGAGTCGTATTCCATATTTTATAAATACATTCTTATTATCTGAAAACACCGATAGAAAATGTGCTTTATATACTCCTTTAATAGCCAAATACTAAAACTCAGCGTTAGAGTATTTGGGCACTATTTTTTTTTTTATATTGAGATCCACAACAAGCGCCACAAATGCCTGATTCCTATATTCAAAAACGTTTCGTTCCCCTTCACGATTTAAACATACAAAATGCATGTATAAACAATCTAAATTGCAAACTCAGCAACTAAGAATGACTTAAAATGAAAAAATTAAACGGTTCATGAATAGTTGGAACTAGTACTTAGTTTTAAAAAAAAAGGGGCTACATTCAGTTCATTTACTGCAAAATGGTTCTTAAAAGATAAGGAAGTGTTTTTAAATATAGAAATTCGGCATAAGTCAATTATCTATTTAACATCACAAAAAGGTTAAAAAGCGATTTACAAAATAAGTCTTAAAATAAGTTAAATACCTAAGACAGTGTTTACCAAACAGTGGTACGCATACCCACCAGGGGTACGTGAGGTTGCCTGAACGATTACGCTCTTGACAAAGGTAATGGAAAGGGCAATCAAGAAATCTTTATTAAATAGGCAATTGAAATAATTCAAGAAAAGAACCTAATCCTTTTTTTTTAAACCGATAACGCATCTGCGATTTCCATGGTGTTGCAGTCGTTCATAGGCTCATTTGATAGGTGGCGCTGTATATTAATAACTCTTTAAAATCAGAAAATCAGAACCAGATAGGTAGCGAGCGCTGTGGTCAAGTTATTAATAAGTTTTATATTTACACTGTAAAAATACTGGAATACATTAGAAATGAAACGTAACGCGACACCTACCGAAAACAACAGACAAACGTCTGCTAGGCCAGCTGTCATTTCAGCTATAAGAGGTACGCAAGATTGGGCTCTTTCTCGAATTGGTACGCACGAAAAAATATACCTTAATTGAGAACTACTGATCTAAGAGATTAATTTAATGAGATACATAACATCACATACTTAATATTTATTTGCTCGGTGTTAAATTAATATTTAATCAGTGCTTTTCGTACAAAAAGAATACTTAATCGTAGCAACATCATGCATAATTCGAAGATTTGTCAATAAACTAATCAGACATGGATGGCATTACGATTAGATTAGATTACGAGATACATGGCCAAATACTCAAACGCTATTTAATTTTAAGATGTCGTTAAGTCTCGTGTTGTCACAGTCACTTTGACATAAAGTAATCGAGATAGCACGAAACTTAACGACATCTCAAAATTGCGTAACGTTTGAGCATTTGAACAAAAGACTGTCAAAATAAAACAGGATTTAAAAGAAAGACACAAATGACAAATGTTTGTCACAATTCTTCCAATGCAGTATCAACTTTAGTGAAACAAACAAATGAGTTAACTGAGTATTTGAACACGAATTTAAGTGAAATATGAGGTCATCTAACTTTCTATGAGTACTTTTTACCTAACTAACTAACAGAGCTAAGAGTAAAAGAAATACTTAATAAAAGGGGATTAACATTCAAAGCTAAAATTTCTCACTTAAACTGACGAATATCAATAGAAAGTTGTAAAGGAATCTGTCATAGGTACTTTTGAGTTCAACCACCAAGCAAGAAGTACCTATATAAAATATATAAACTGCCAATAAATACTGTCATCTAATACAAAATCCAGTGTCAATAAAAAATAAAACTAAGCGATACTACAGTGTCTATTTTTCGATCTGAAAATAATTTTCAATTCATATAGTATAATTGCTTTTGGTTTTTATCGATACCGATATTGACAAGTGTACCGACATCACTATTCTTTTATATAAAACTTTTAACTAGCGCTGCAGCTCTCTAGCTCCCTTTCACAGTATTATTCGACAAGAAATTGACAGTTTAAAGTGACATAGCTTTGAATTTTGCTGTCTCCCTCTCTCTCTCTCTTTCTCTCTCACACGCACACACTTAAGGAGCCAAATTTCATATGTTACGTTACTTAATATATACATCTATATGATGTATATATTAATCTAAACATATATGTATCTAATGTCTATGTAAATATCTCATGGAGTATTGGGTATTGAGATACTGTTTCTGTTCTATTCAAACTTTCTTATACAACTTTCAATCATTGATCGCAGATTGAGCTCATAGTTAAATACTTTAATTTAAAAAAAATACTGTAAAAAATTAACATGAGCACTTTGGAAAACACCCGTTTCAATATTATTACCAGTTGTCCAAAAAGTCGTAACCGGTCTTTGGTACTGTTATGGACTCGGTGAGGGTCTCCGCGGACTGGAAGTCGGTGCCCGAGGACGCTTGACTCGACGACAGGAGACCACGATTTTCTTCTGACAAATCTGAAACGTAAGAGTTTACTTATTTCTGTGGGATATATGGCGGTTACAATACCAGGGGTCGCACCTTTGACGCTGCAATGATCAAGATTTCATATGTGGTAGAAGCATGCTGCATATGGAGTTCCAGTGCAAATGGGGGGGCTTGAGCCCCGAAGACCACGGCCCACGAAGGAGGGAAAGGAAGGAGGGAGGGAGGACTTTTTACTGGTAAAAAGGCTTTGCCTGGGGGGATTTTGCCATAGTTGCCACGCTTAGCATACCGGTTGGCAACTGCAGTTTTTTTTTAAATATTTGAGTTGTTCAGTAAGATGCTGCTGCCCATCTCGTGATGCATTTTCCCTGTACTGCCTCCTACGACACCCTCGGGACGATATGGCGTAGCAGATATTCTCACACCGCCACTACAGTAGAATCCCGATTATCCGGACAGCAATTATCCGAACATCCTTTTATCCGGACTCATTCGTCACGGCTTTAATTGCCGATTTAAAAATGTTTTAACGGCGCAATGAGACATTTACGAGTTTATTCCCGTCTCCGACGTGTACTCCCGCTCTCATTTATTTGCGCAATAGTGTTTGTTATTGTTTCATTTCTTTGATGGCGTTAAACCGTTAGGGTGTCTTTTATTTTCGTTTACGTTTTGCATCGGATATCTAAAATGTCCAAACGAAAAAGAGCAGTGTTGTCTCTTAAAGACAAAGTTAAGCAGCACAGCGATTTTTTTGTAGACGAATTAAAAGAATTTCTAAATGGAAAAGAATACGATTTAGATTTTGTGTACAATGCGGACGAAACAGGTCTTAATTGGAAAGCTTTAACAAGCAAATCATTAGCATCGCGTCATGAAAATGCAGCTCCGCGGCACAAAGTAAGGATAGAGTTACAGTCATGGTTTGCACGAATGATAAAGGAACACATCGATTGTCGCCACTTATTGGTAAATTAAAAAATCAGCGCTGTTTCAAATATGTTAAAATTCCCTTAACTTACGCTAACCAACAAAAAGCGTGGATGAACACTGATATTTTTCTTATTTGGTATGAGAAACATTTATCCTTGAGGTGAAGAAATTTCAAAAGGACGTGGGAAAACAGGGCGATGTATTGTTGTTGTTAGATAATGCGCCAAAGCTCCCTTCCGCTGAAACATTAAGTCCAGAAAATAGGAAGTTTACAGTTAAGTTTTTGCCTCCTAACGTACTCAATATTGCAATCTATGGACCAAAGTATCATAGAAACTTTAAAGCGTTTATACAGAAAGTAGCTACTGCATCGTCTTTTGTCAACAGACAAAAGTTAAATAGAAAGGATATCAAAGAATTTAAGGAAATTAATTTTAAAGATTGTTGTTAAATGCTGGTAAATGCGTGGGACTCTGTGGAATCGCAAACATTAAAAAGGGCTTGGAATAAATTATTGAAATTAACTCAGTCTAATTCTTCAATTATACTGCACGACGATTTTAAAGAAATAACGGAAGCAATGGAAATTGTTAGCGTTGATGAAGGGTACGATGAAGAGAATATCAAGGAGTGGCTGAACTACGATAGTGGAGACCCTGGATTCCAAATATTAACCTTTTGAGCGCCACTCCAAAAACGCATTACAATTTGCATTTTGCAATTTCAATTTGCATTTGAATTTTCTTTATTGCAATCAAATGGTAACAATAGATGTGATGTTTTAAAAAGAAATAGTCCGCATTATTTGAACACGGTTTGGGCGTAGCAATTATAAAAATATTAAATATTATTTTTAAACTACAATATTAGATTTCATTAATAAATTACATTATTAAATTATATTATTCTAAAATTCTGTAAATTTAATTAAATTAATAATCACAATGTCAAGTAAAAAATTATTATTATTATAATTATTTATATTTTCTACGTTTTCTCAGTTTGTTTTTAACAAAACTGGATTAATGGTTATTACCACGGGACAAAGCCAAGTGGATACTTTGTATGAATTTATTAACAAAATTAAACAGAATCGGGTGGATAGTTGTAAACTTTTTATACCAATAGTTATGTATATTATCTGATCCAGGTGTTTTCCAATTATGCAGTTTTTTAATTACTTTATGGAAAGTGTCTATCTTGATGTGTTGGAATTGCATGGCTTTAATCTGTGATGTGTCTATTTGATTTTTGATCCAATCCTCAATATTATTATTATTATTATAAAAATAAAATAAAGTAAAAAATAATAATTGAATAAAAAATTAAATTAAATTAGATAGACACAGGCCGAAGTTGTCCACACAAATTAAATAATATTTGTATCAAAATGTTCATTTAAATTATAGAAACATTTTTCAATTAAATATAACTTTAATTTGGATAAAAATAATGTAGAACTCGTTAAATTTTTTATGTCATTTAGAAGTTTATTAAAAATTTTAACTGCCATACAGTAGGGACTAGAGCTATGCAAAGCAAGAGTAGATTTCGGCAATAGTAGCCTATTTTTATTTGGTCTAATTGAGTATTTGTAATTTGTTTCACTTAATTTGGTAAATAGTTCTGGGTGGTTCTTTTACAAATTTGCATGTTTCCGAAATATAATTAGTCGTCGACGACGTCGAGTCACGTCAAATTCAAAATTTTAAACTTTTTGAAGTGGGGTCTTACAACTTTCTGGAATTTTTATGTTTGCCAAGATTCTTATAACTTTTTTTGCATTATAAATAACTGCTGTGCATCTTTATTATTTCCCCACATGACCCCGTATGACAGCCACGAAGAAGTGTATGCGTAATATGCTGACAGAGCGCTGGGGACATCTGTGGTTTGCTTTATTTGTCGTAATACGTAAGTGAATTTTGATAGACTATTTTTTACTTTAGTTATATGGGCTTTCCAGTTTATATGGCAGTCGATTTCCAGGTCTAACAAGTTAAAGTTTTCAACAGTTCCTATAGTTATACTATTATAAGTAAAAGCGATATTTAGTGGTGATTTTTGAACTGGTCAGAATTGCATAATTTTGGTTTTATTAAAATTAATCTCCAGGTTGTGATGTGTTGATGTGTACCAATTTGTAACCTGGTTCAATACTCGATTTAATTTATTATTTAAATTGTGGTCTTTTGTATGCGAAATAAGAATGGAAATTTCATCAGCAAATATAATAGAGGTTTCAGTCAATACCCTAGATTGAGAAATAAAATCGCACAACACAAAATATAAAATTGTTCTACATACCTTAAGAAAAAAAATTTACATTTATTATTCGTAATTTTATATTTTAAAATAAAAAAATTCATCATCATCGACGCTTTCCAAAATGCGAGTAAGTTCTGAGGAATCGTTCATGTTGCACTGCACTACTTTTTCCGTAATTCGTTTATGACGTCATCAGGGTGTCGTCTATCCTTGACCACGGCGACGGCGCCCAATGAACTGATAATCGATGACGCGCTAAGGATGCGCCAGAGTTGAGATATTAGATTTATTATGCGAAGTTGATTTGATGAAATTTTCTTTTATTTATGTAGCTGATGATATTTTTATATTTCTTACCTTTTGTTTTAATCAAATATCAATAACAATATTAAAAAATAACATGTTTGTGTTTAATTTTGAATAGTTTTTAATAAATCCGTGCCTAACGTATTACAACACTAGCGGTCAAAAATAGACGACTTTGGCGTGCTGGACGTAGTATTTCATCATCATCATTACAGCCCTTCACAAGTCCACTGCTGAACATAATATTTGCTTAGATAAAAATCCATATTTTTTTTAGATCAATGTTTCTTAGTACTTGTGGCTCCAGGAGACTTGTTTTTTATACTCATATGTTGCTGGGTTATTCTTTTTTGAGGAGTGTAAAATTATAATACCAGTAATAATTTTCCAATATCTATTATTTATTTTTATTTTATTTTTTAAAGAATATTAACAATGTATAAACATTACTAATTTCCCCTTAACCACTCGTGGTAAGCTTAAATTGCTTGTGTTACGAATGGTTCACGCCAGTAGTCGAATGGCGGATTCGAACTCACGACCTTTTTGAGATCGCGGTCCGCGCCCTGCCATTAGGCTACTGTGGCTTTTTTTATCTATATTTCATATTTTTGTGGGCAGGGTTTTTGTTGTCAACTATAGACGTCGTTGACGCTTAGGGCCCGCAGGTGCTGGTCAAGTATAGGCGACTTTGCCGCTCAAAAGGTTAACTGATCAACAAATCATTGACGATTTGAATAATAACGAGAGAGAAGATTAAGAGACTTAAACTTAATGTATATCAAGTACCATCTCACGCAGAAGCTTTTGAAGCTCTGGATGTTGCTTTCAAGTGGGTTGAAAGACAGGACGAATCGGATACACATCCCATGCAGTTGTTCAACTGAAGCGCATCAGGGACTAGGCTTCAAGGAAACGATGTGATTCATTACATCAAAGATCATTATGTATACTATTATGTACTTCATTATCGCTATAGCTCGCATTTTTTATATCTTATCGTCTAAACGACTTGTGTAAAAAACATTACATAATAAAATCGATTAAAATTTGAAATATTGTTTGATTTGATCTTGAAATCGATTGTCCGGATTTTCGATTATGCGGAATACTCCCGGTTTTATTTGTTCCGGATAGTCGGGATTCTACTGTACAAAATTTTTCATTCTTAGTTAAGGAAAAAATATGTCTATGGAGTACGATATTTAGTATTTACACACCATCAGGTGAACTGTGCTCTCATTAGTCTGTATATATTATACTTTAACTTCTTTAAAAAGGTTTGTTTAACAATTTTTTATAATTTTCTTTAGGCAGTTCTATAATAGTATCAGAAATATTTCATTAAAATTGTATATTGTTGTGTACAGTCAATGGTTTGTAACAAAAAATATATTTTTTATATAGGATAGGATGACAAACTAGCACACAGTCCACCTGATAGTAAGTGGTTGCTGTAGTCCATAGACATCTATCCTCGATTACGAATCAAAATGCAGATGCTTTACACCCATGACGACTAAGATGGAATGCCTCGTTTCCAGTAAAAAGGGTCTATGGTTCTCTACACTCACCATACAAAACACAGCAGCATTAAGCTACTATTTTACGCTGGTATTCTGTGAGAGCGTGGTCAATCCCCGGTCGAGCCGACCCATTCGTGCTACAACTATACTTCTAATATAACTGCAGCATGGCTCTACCATGTATAAAAACGTATAACTATTTCTTTCTTTTTTAAAATTAGAAATTGAAATATATTTATTTAACAAAAAGAAGTTACATAAGTAAACAATGACGTGGTTTCCACACTAAGCTCTAGGCTTTTATAGCAGGAACCTAGAACATTGATTTACACTATTTACATCAATAAATACAAGAAGCTTTTAAACTTCAAAAATTTAAACGGTAAAGCATGTAGCTTTCCATTCTCCCTTTCAAAACATTATCTTATCCTATAAAAGATCCAATTTAGAAATTGCCGTTTATCGCTTGGTATGGGCGTTGCATAAAATTTTGTATGTAACACACGCAATAGAAGTCTGTAGAAGTGAGCGTTAGAGTAAATAAATTAATTTAATTAACTTTATAAATACAAAGTGTTTAAATAAGTATCTGTAAATCTCGTATTACATAAAATATACTATTGTAAAGATTTAATAACAAAATTATACGATTATTTTATTATAGTTATTTATTTGCCTTTTCCTTGCATTTTCAATATAAATTACCGCTTTACTTTAGACTTGCAATGTAAATCGCGTAGATTTCGTACCCGTTCAAGACTGTAAGATATTATAATAATATACTAAACTTTCTACGACCCACAGTTGGGCGGGCACAGGCCGCCTACCTCAATTCTAAAAATGTTTGAACCAATTGCAATCAAATTTATAAGAATCTAAGTTATAATGACTGTGATTTGTATAATTTTTTCCATATTTCTAAAATGTCTATTGCCATTGTTAAAAAGTCTATTCCATGCCGCCAACAACCGCATCCTATAAGCTTATTTGAACTGAGAACCCATTATTAAAGCGGAACCCTGAACCCTTAGCGGATTATAGATAACAAAATGATTTCATATACCTATTAACGCAAACTACTACTACGAATTGAATAAATTAATATAATTTTACGAATTTCATCGCGTCAAATTTTAGTTTATTTTTTAAATCGGTCACGGAAAGACTGATTCAACATCCTGATGTAAAATTTAGCCTCGGGACTTATAGCGTATGATTCATTTTTAGTCCAATCCACGCAGAATGATAATACAGTATCTTCTCTATAGACATGTATCAATCGGTAACGATCATCACGTAATATTTGATTCATAGGTTATGAATCAAGAATAAAATTTAAAAAAAAATTGGAAAGTCGTCACCCGAAATGGTCAATACAATTAACAAATATTTTTCATTTTTTATTGATATGAGTATAAATTATTTGAAAAAAAACGATTCGATTGAAGATTTTTAGTTAGTCTTTCAATACTTCCTAATATATTGTAGAGAAATGAAGTTGAATTTAAACATTTTGGAATGGTAATTACACAAGTGGTAAAATTAAAAATTCAGTACAACCGACTTAAATATAAGGAAATAA